GATTTTTTTCCATATTCTCAAAACAGGCTTACATTTTTGTGCTTTCTTCAATAAGACATATAAAAAGTGGAAACAAGCATAAATTGTAGACAGAAAATAATTTTCTAGCAGAAAGAGTTGTGGAAAAGAGTACAACAACATCAAAGGTTATGAAGGCCCTTCCTTGAAGAGGTTAATTATAGGTCCCATTCCCTGTGTGCAGCTGAGTTCCACCAGAGGTAGTCAGTGACTCCTTTCCAGGTCGTTGGCATTGCCAGGACCATATGAAAGTCTTCAGTTTATTGAAGTAAATCTCTGGGACTCACCACACCCCTACTAAGTACTTTGTCACTACATTCTAACTTGGAAGTCACTTCTTTAGAGTCAAATGTCATCACTTACCTCAAACCTTGTTTAACTTCCCTGTTTATTCAGGAGGCTTAACTCTGAGTTGTTTTTTCCCTACAATCAAAAATTAAATCTACCTTCAAAAACCAAGTTTGGAAAAGAAATGAAATGTTATTGAAAAGAATCGTGTCACTAGTTCTGATGATAATCTCCAAGGTAATTGCCAAAAAGTTTTTGAGGAGAAAAATGCTCATTTACATGTATGAGCTCTGGTTCATGTGCAAAATGGTATCAATACAGACCAAATGGAGAAGTAACTAATATTTTCTGTCCAATAAGAAACATCATTATGGGCATGAGAATACAAGAAAGATTGATTACTCATTTGTTCATTTATACATTCATCCAACAAACATTAGCCAGGCAACTACTCTGTTCCAGACAATATGCTAGGTATTAAAAATACAACAACAATAACAAAAGACAGTCCTTGCCCTCAACATATTCCCTGTGTAATAGAGAAGGTAATTAACATACATCAAACTTCTTTGTGCATCAGAGTAACCTGAGGAGCTTGTCAAAATTATGAGAATTTCCTCCTATGCTCCCAGATGTCCAAATTAAATAGATCTAGATTGGAGTCCAATAATCAATTGTTTTAGCAAATGAATCACCAAAGGTGATTCTAACTGGTGTTCTGAGGATGGAATTTGGAAATCACTGCTATGCAGTGTGATTATTACTGAGAAAAAGCCATGCCAGGAGCACAAGGGGAACTCCAAAGAGGGACACCTAACCCAGGCTAGAAGCCAGGAGTTGATCCGGTAGAAAAAGGCAAAGGAAGATAGAAGGTAGGACAGGTAACATGCAAAGATAAGGTGGAGAAATTAACCTAAAAGTTAAACTAAAATAATTCTGTTGACCCCTATTGACTATAGGAAGAGATGAATATTCACAGTAAACTAAATGCCATGTTCTGTGCTAGGCAGTTTATCCATGCATCATTTTTTGTATGTATATGTGCTTAGCTTGGGGCTTGAACTTAAGGCCTGAGCACTGTCCCTTAATTTTTCACTCTACTACTTTAGCCACAGCTCCACTTCTGGCTTTTTGGTAGTTAATTGGAGATGAGAGGCTCATTGACTTTCCTGCCTGGGCTGACTTCAAAACACCATTCTCAGATCTTAGCTTTTTGAGTAGCTAGGATTACTAGCTGGTGCTTGGCTGGATGATTTTAATTTCAAGGCTATGACCTTTCTATTACATAAAACTATTTACCAGCACTACAGAATCTTATCTGTGTCTCTCATTTCTTTTATTCTTTTTTTTTTTTTTTGTGCCAGGCCTTGGGGCTTGAACGCAGGGCCTGGGTACTGTCCCTGAGCTTTTTTTTTTTTTTAAACTCAAGGCTAGCACTCTACCACTTGAGCCACGGCTCCACTTCCAGCTTTTTTGAAAGTCAAGTGTAGATAAGAGTGCTCAAGATATTGTATTCATAAACTGCTTTGTTAAATGGTAATACCTCTGTACAACTACGTTAAAAAAAAGAGTCTTCAAGGCTGGCTTTGAACCTCAATCTTCAGATTTCAGCCTCCTGAGTAGGTAGGATTACAGACATGAGCTACCACAGCCCAGCTCTCATCTCTTGATTCTTTGTTAAGTACACAGTTTTTAAACCCCAAACAACTGACTGCACTACTATGTATGTTTATCTGAGCCTTTCTTTAGATCTTTCTTGGGGATAGGGAGGTAGCACAATGGTTAACAACCATACCTAGTGTGCATGAGTCCATGGGTTTGAACCTCAGCACCTGCAACATTTTTTTTCTCCTTTGTATGTCCATCAATGTTACTTTTCATGTTAGGTGAACAAACAATACATAACAGCTATGGGGTAGGATTTATATACTTTTTCTGCAAAATAGCAAGTTATTTGATAGCAAAAACTGTGCTTTATTAATATTTACACTCACTGCAGTAGATTGCCTAGCATCTAACAGTTTATTAAACAAATTAATGGAGGAGCATTCACCAAGCTGGTGAAAAGGAAAGCGGGAGAGACTTGACATTGTAACAACCCTTCCCTGGGGGAGGGCTTGCCACACAAGTAATACTTTCACAACTTCCAAGGAGTAGATTCCTTGTAGCAGACTTAGCCCCTTGTCAGGAGGAAGCTCTGGCTCTCTGAAATCTCAAATCTCTGCAATGGAACTGATAAAAGCATAGACCAGGAAGGTCAATGCCTTCTACAACCCTGATAAGGGTTAGGATGCAATTTATGTCTGCATTTTCCATGAAGGAGCAAATGAGTTTCACAAACAACATTGTAAAAGGAAAGAATATTTAAGCAAAATACTTAGGAAAACAGATTATATTCAGCATTCTTCAGCACTTCAGAAGTGTGTTATCTGAAAGCACAAGTACATTTATATGCAAATAATTGCACCTGAAACAATCCATTATTAAAGATCAAATCAAGCAAGTTTCTAAAGAAACACCATTATGCAATTCTTTGTAGCATAATTCTAGTAACTGATGTACTTGAGATTAATAATATTATATTTCTTCAAAACATCCTGTGACCGAATTATTTGTCTCAGTACTGCGGTTTAAATTCAAGGCCTGAGCACTGTCACTCTCCCTTTTCATGCACTCTACCACTTAAGCCACAGCTTTTTGGTGGTTAATTGGAGATAAGAGTCTTATGGAGGGGCTGGGAAGGTGGCTCAGTGGTAGAGCGCTTGCCTTGCATGCTTGAGGCCCTGGGTTCTATTCCTCAGTACCACATAAGAAAAAAGCGGGAAAGTGGCGCTGTGGTTCAAGTGGTAGAACGCTAGCCTTGAGCTGAAGAGCTGAGGGACAGCACCCAGGCCCATTGTTCAGGCCCTACCACTGAACCTCCCAAAAAAAATTAAAAAGGGGGGGCGGGGGAGGATGGGATGGGATGGGAAGGGGAAACAAAGGAGGAGGCTACAATGCTTGATAAGAAATGTACTCATTATCTTGCCCATGTAATTGTAACCCCTCTGTACTGTATTTTCACAATAAAAATTTAAATTAAAAAAAAAAGAGTCTCATGGATTTTTTTCCTAACTGGGTTGGCTTCAAACTGTGATCTTCAGATCTCAGCCTCCTGAGTAGCTAGGATTAAAGGGGTGATCCACCAGTAATCAGCTATGCCAGAATTTTTCTTAAATTTTAATTTAAAAATTTTATCTTTAATAGTTGTATAAGAGGGTTTCTATTTAACATGTGCGTTTGTGTGTATAATGAATCTTAATCAGAAGCATTCATTCCATCATTCTCCCTCTACCATCTATCTCATCCCCATCCATCTTCTCAAGTTTCTTAGTTCCATTTTCACATATGTACATTGGGTATTACACTGTATTTGCACACTATTCCTCTTTCCATTCATCTGCCCCCTTCTTATAGCTCCCAGACTCCCTCAGTAAAGACATGTTTTAGTTTCCTGGTATTGATTTTGCTAAACTGTTCATTGGTCAAATGTTACACCATAGAATCTCACTCCTGCATATACCATATTTTAGTCAGTTTGACCCTATATATGCATGCATATGACTCTATATGTCTTTACATATACGTTTATATTTTAGGTCTACCATCCACATATGAGAGAAAACATGTTCTCTTTGTCTTTCTGAGCCTAACTTATTTCACTCAACATTTCTTTTTCCAGGACAACACATGTTCCTGCAAATGATGTAATTTCATTCTTCCTGATGGATGACTAGCATTCTATTGTGTGTGTATTTGTGTGTATCTATATGAATAGATACATATATATAAATATACATTTATCATATTTTCTTGGTCCATTCATTAGTTGTAGTGAATCTGGGCTAGTTCCCTAACTTGGCTATTGTGAATAGTGCAGCAAAGAGCAAGGGTGTGAAGGTATGTGACAGAATTTTAAACAGATTGATGCACTCCTTGCCCTTAAATAGCATTAAGCAGCCTCAGTGAAATTGCTACACTTCTACTTGGAGCAAATTTCTATCTACCAATAGTATTCCATATGCAGCTTCGTCTAATTCTCTCTTAATCTAACCAAGAGCTCTTCTCACTGTTCATGTCCTGTTTATGTCTTGACAAGAGATAGAAAAGAAGGATGGAGGGGGGAGAATATTTGTTTTGATATTTCTTTTAGGAGATCAAAATGAATGGTGTAATTTCTACCCAAATGAACAAATCAAGAAATTTATTGTGCATATATAATATATAAATGACAGATTTATATATTATATATGCACAAGAATGATTTCCTTACAATAACTCCTTGCTTGTAAGTTTTTTCATTAAAAGTGCAATACAATATGCAAAATAATTTGATAAAATTTAAAATTCTATGTGGCCTCATAGGCCAGTACTAGAAAGGCTGACCATCATCCCCACTTTTGGCTAGCTAGCTCCTTGTTCAGAGTATCTTTCTATATTATTTACCTAGAGTTATTCTAATTCCTTCTAATATTTTTTGCACTCTGAAATCATTGGGAATTTCTAATTCTCCAGTGACAATGGAGGCATTGTCTAAGTTTTTTCTCCAGTGCCTGAAACCCAGACTACTCAGATAAATTTACTCTGAGAAACTCCATATATTAATTCAAATACAAGCTTTTGCGCACAAAAATTAAATCTACAATAACTAGCTCTTTTGGATGCTTCAAATAAACTTTACTTTTTGTCTCATATTATTGAGCACTAACCGAAGTTTAAGAGGGAAAGGACTGCTGAACTGGAGAGCCAGTGAATTCTCTGCTCTCTTGAAACTTAGTGACAAGCTTTCATCCCAGACACATAGGGAGATTCTTGAGGCCTGCAGTTGCACTCCTGACGCTCTGGAAAATCAATAAAATCGGGGGCAGGCAAGCCAGAAAGGATCATTAGGGATTTGTTCCAGATTGTGAATGTTGGACAAACTGGAAGGATAAAGGTCACATCAAAGGTATGAAGATGAAGAGAGTTAGCTGGGTCATAGAAAGACAGCATGTTGTTGTCATAATCCAGGAGGACACCGAGGCGCTTAAGCTGTGGGGGCACATCCACCAGCATTTCCTTATTGTTGTGTCTCACCACGAAGTTACTATTACATCGAGAAAAGACCCAGGAGGATGCATTCTTGCCAATCCATTCATTCTTTGGAGCTGACTTATAGGCAATACCAATTGCATACCTGTGAGAAGTGGGAAGGACAGAGACATAAACATTTATAATAATCTGTATGGTGCTAAACATCATAGAGGATATATGAGAAATGTAATACATGCTTCTTCCTAAAGTAGTTCACACATATCTTTTTTTTTTTTTTTTGTCGGTCATGGGGCTTGAACTTTGGGCCTGGGCACTGTCCCTCAGGTCTTCAGCTCAAGATTAGCACTCTACCACTTGAGCCACAGCACCACTTCCAGCTTTTTTCTGTTTATGTGATGCTAAGGAATCGAACCCAGGGCCTCATGCATGTGAGGCAAGCACTCTACCACTGAGCTACCTTCCCAGCTCCAGTTCACACATATTTAATATTGCTATAACTTTTCTCTCTTCTTCTATCCTTTCCTTTTTTTTTTTGGCAGTACTGGAGTTGAAACTCAGGGCCTCACACTTGCTACCCAGGAAGGTGTGATACCAGTCTCTCTCTCTCTCTCTCTCTCTCATGCACACACACACACACACACACACACACACACACACTACTACTACTACTACTACTACTACTACTATGTACTACTACTACTACTACTATGTACTACTACTACTACTACTATGTCCAGTTTCCTTCCATGGAAATAGAATCTCACAGATATGTGCCCTGTCCTAGAATTGTGATCTTCCCAATCTCAGCCTCCCACACAGTTTAGAATTATAGGGGCATATTACTCTTCCCAGCTTTGGATTAAGCAGGAATCTTGCCAACTTTTACTGTCTAGGAGTGTCTTGAACTGCAATCTTCCCATGCTCAGCATCACAGATAGCTAGTATTACAGGTGTGAGCCATGGGAATCCAGCCTATCTTTATTTTATTAAAAAGCTGGCAAGCTGGGTGGTTCATGCTTATAATCCTAGCTACTCAGGAGGCTGAGATCTTAGGATCCAGGTTCAAATCCAGCCCCTGCCAGGAAAGTCCATGACATTCTTATCTCCAATTAACCACCAGAAAACCAGAAGTGGTGCTGTGGCTCAAGTGATAGAGCACTCACCTTGAACTGAAGAGCTCAGGGACAGTGCTCAGGCCCAGGTTCAAGCCCCATGACCGACACACACACACAAAAAAATGCTGACAAATTCCTCCCTTCTTCTTTTTGGTGGAGTAGGACTGGGACTTGAACTAAAGGCCTTGCTCTCGCTAGGCAGATGTTCTACCACTTGAGCTATACCTTCAGCCCTTTTTACTTTAGTTACTTTTCACCTAAGGGTCTTATTTTAGCCTGAGCTGACCTCAGTTTCAATTGTCCTGGGCCAGCTTCAGACCACAATCCTCCTAGAGTCTCTCCCATAACTAGAATTACAAGTGTGAACTGCTGTAACTGCCTTGTTATTGAGATAAAGTCTCACTAACATTTTTCCCAGGTTGCCTTCAAACTATAATCCTCCTAATCCCTGTCTTCCTAGTAGCTAGTGTTACAGGCATGAACCACAATGCCTAGCAGGCAAATTTTTCTAGACTGTTTTTCATCATACACATTTTAACTTTGACTTATATTGGTGCTAGGGTTGTGCTATAGAATCCAATCTCTGGGGAAACTAACAACAGAGAAGATAAGAGAAAAGAAAACTGAAATCCACTTACCATGTTGAGGAACCCATGACCACCTCCCAGTAGTGGCAGCCACTGTCAATGAATATATTTCCTGCTGCCCCATAGCACCCTGTGCCACTAAACCTCTCTGGGGTATGGCTTTTCTTCAGAGAGCTTTCATCCTTCTCCATCTGCAGTCCATCATTGGAAATCTTCAACTTCTTGTGAGTCATTTTGGGATCCAATTTAAAGGGCTGGCCTGAGGAAGGTAGAAAAAGGAGGAAATTTGATGATGCACTGAAGAAATGGAATTTTATCCTCCAGAAACAGCAGTAGTGGGGACCCTCAAGAGGAAAAATCACTTTAGAATCAGAGAAAGCTGGCTTCTGTTTAGAGTATATAAAAGAAAAAGGCCAGGAGACATAGTGTGTAAGAAAGTAAGGACAGAACTCATTCACCAATAACATAACCTCCATGGAATATTTCTTTTCTCACTATGGGAAAAAGGTGGGTTGCATACAAGAGTTGCCCTCTACCATATTTTATTAAACTAAATGAGATCTATCATGTTCTCAAATATGATTTGTATTTTATTTCATTAGGTGTTTTTGAGATTGAGTAGATTTTTGGGGTGCATTTTTATTAGAATCAATTAGTTGTATGAGAGAGGGTTTCATTTTGACATCTATATATGCATATAATGTACCTTGATTATACTTGCCTCCTTCATCATTCTCCCTCATCCCTGCTCCTTTGAGTAGGTTCTAAGGAGTGTTAGAATGCTTGAAGTGGGAGAAAGTGAGAGTCACTGTTGAAGTTATCACTACTTGGTGGTAGAGCAAAAAAACTTGAGGAATCAAGTAACAGGGACTTTTTTGCCTTCTTAAAATTGGAATACAAAGCCTGGCGCCAGTGGCTCATGCCTGTAATCCTAGCTACTCAGGAGGCTGAGATCTGAGGATCGCGGTTCAAAGCCAGCCTGGGCAGGAAAGTCCGTGAAACTCTTACCTCCAATAAACCACCAGAAAACTGGAAGTGGTGCTGTAGCTCGAGTGGTAGAGCACTAGCCTTGAGCTGAAGAACTGAGGGACAGAGCTCAGGCCCAGAGTTCAAGCCCCACAACCAACCAAAAAAACAATTGAAATACAAAAAATATACAATTAGGCAAGCTTATAACAGTGACTATTGTATCATCAATGATCAGAGAAAATATTTGTTGTATAGGCTCATTCACAATAAAGAGACTTATACAATCAAGTATTGTTCCCTGATGGGCACTGGTAGCTCAAACCTGTAGAAGAGGTTCATAGTTCAAAGCCAACCAAAGCAACAAAGTCTGTGAAACTTCTATCTCAAATTAATCAGCAAAGAGCCAGAAAAGAAGCTGTGGTTCAAATGGTGGAGCACCAGTCTTGCATTCACAAAAATCTCAGGCCCAATGCCTAGGCCCTAATTTCAAGCCCCAGTACAGGCATGCAAAAAAGTATTCCCTGAGGTCAGATGTTGGAGAAGGCAAGATTTGCAAGGCAAATGCTTCTGTGACAAGCATTATTGGCTAACCTAATGTCTTTCCATAATTTATCTCTCTCATTCAATTTCTTACCCTCCCTTCCTTATAGAATAAGCTAATAAAATAAAATCAGAAATCAGAGTAGCAGAAATTTATGGAAAGTTTCTGTTTTTCTGATAAAAGGAATACCAACTGTGTCTTCCTTCATATCTTAAAAAGCAATGTGACATGTGGAGGTTATAGTGGCTATCTCATGGCCATGTGGCAACAAGCAATGCACAAAGGGAGATGGAAATTGTCTCTTTTCTGCCACCACAAAGCTGCTTCACCAGTCCTCACTGCCTGCCTTCAAACTTCCTTCTACATGAGACCAAGAAGAAAAGCCACTATTCCTTTAAGTGACTAGTAAGTATCATTTGTGAAGTTATGTTAGTGACACTTTCTGTGGTTGACTGTTGCTAGATTATCACAAATAATGTTCTTTCATTCAATTGTCTGCCAAACTTGGTGGTAAAAATCAGAGAAAGCCTCATCACTAATATCCTCCCATGCTATTCTGGGTTTTAGTATTGTACATACAACCCCCACCCCCCCATGGACACCAACAAACCCCCCAGCTAAAGTACAAACCACAGCAGCAATTCTCCTCTGCCCAGTGCCACTGCCATCATGCAATGATGGGGTGCCATCTCAGGCTAAGGACCTCCCTGGTATGGAGCTGAAAGTGGGTCTTTCTTGCTGGAATCACCACCACCTACTGTTTGTTTTTAGTCGGGTGGGTTCACTGTTCCGGCTGCCTGCTTGGTTTATGGCTTTAACAATGAAGATGTAGCGTGTCCCACTCTGGAGTCCATGTACTGTGTAATGGTTCTGTTTAATGTTGGGCACAATCATCCAGCTATCCACTGAATTATACAGGCCTGTAAAGTAGGCAAAGACAAGGATATCAATCAACAAAAAGAAACAAGAAAAACACACTAGAAATGCAATCACAGGCTTCCCTCCCAAAGCACATTTATTTAGCTTTGTTATGAGTCTGAGAAGTTATAATGAAATGAACCAGAGATTGTGAATCCATTATTTATTTTGTCCCACAGAGCTACGCTTTTGCCTGTCTTCTTGCTTCTAGCAAGTGAATGCAAATACTGGCAAAAGTTATATCATATCATCTTTGTGCCATATAATAAAGAAATACCCACTACATCAAATCATAGAATCATCACTCTTATGGAGTCTTTGCATCATTACCCCAATGTCCACTCCTCTGAGAGCCAAATCTGGCCTTGTGTGAGTGGAGCAGTCCTGTACAGAGCATGGAAAAATGGAACTTCAGAGCAGAAAGGATACCTACATATCAAATATCCTTCATCTTACAAGAGAGAACACTGGTATCTTTTAATCCTAGGCCAGTATTCTCTGCATGGCATCACAATTCATGGGGTGATTAGAAATGTTCCTTTGTCTCTCTATAAGGTAATGAGGACTTAAAATTCTACTCCTCTACCTCATTGTCATCCTGAATTCCCAAATGTTCTGGAATCTAAGTGAAGTAAAAGAGATGGCATAATGTTGCATATTTTTCCCCTTCCTAGCTCTGATTCCCATTCCCCTCTGGAGTCAGGTGGTTCAGTAACATATTGTCAATTTGAACAATTTTCCCTCTCAAGCAGGGAAAGGGATCAGATGTCTAGGCTTCTGTTTTAGACTGCAAACATTGGCTTAAAACAGGAGAAGATATACATAACCAAAAACATATATTTGGGCAGTTTTCAGTAAAAGAGAAATCAACATATTATACTGGATTATCTAGACAAATCTCTTGTTATTTGGAGTTTTTTCCCCATACTTCTACTGGAGGGTGGAAAGGGAAAAGCAAAAAAAAATGAGCAGTGGATTTTGTCACTTCCATGCATCTCTAATAGAAAACTAAGTGAAGGTGAAAATTAAAAACAATGATGAGTGTTTTTCAAGAGATCTAATCTGAAGGGTTTAGTGATTAATTTGAAGGAGGTGGAATAAAAACCTAAATGAAAACTAGGTGTTATAGAAAGAATAAGAAACAATGGATATTTCAATGATTTTTTTTGAAAATGTAAGGATAAGGGCTAGGAACAGTGTTTGAGATATTACCTATCTATGTATCTATATACAGTATAAATCACAAATTACACATGAAATTTTAATACAAAGGGGGAAATGCATGGTCTTCCAAATGTCCTTCAAACAATACAAAGACAAATAAATACAAAGTTCACAATGAAGTAACTATGCAATATGAGAAAAGAGGAGAACAATCTCTATGAGCTAATATGGAATGATTTCCAAGAGATAATAGTTGAAAAAAAGCTAATTGCATGACAGCATATATCAAATGCTATTATTTTGAGAGAAAGAAAATGCAAAGTAAACTGTATTTGCTTAGATTAACAAAACAAAGAAAGGATAACCCAGAGAAGAAAGAGGTTTGTTACCTACAAGGGATTAGAATGGACATAAAGGATTAAAAGCATTTGGGAGATGTCTGGGAATATGGCTTAGTGGTAGAGTGCTTGCCTAGCATGCATAAAGCCCTGTGTTCAATTCCTCAGTATCACATACACAGAAAAAGCTGGAAGGGGTGCTGTGGCTCAAGTGGTAGAGTGCTAGCCTTGAGCAAAAAGAATTTCAGGGACAGTGCCCAGGCCCTAAGTTCAAGCCTCAGACTGGCCAAAAAAAAAAAACATTTGGGAGGACTGGGGCACAGCTCAGGGGCAGAGCACTTGTCTTACTACCTACACTTCAAAAACAAAACAAAAGAACAAAAAGATATGGGAGGGAAGGATGCTTTCTTTAGTATACTTTTTGCAAATTTTTCCCTTTAGGAACCATGCTATATCCTAAAAAATTAAACTTAAGCCAGGCATGTCACACACACACACACACACACACACACACACACACACACACACACACACACACACACACACACACACACGTATGTAATCCTGACCACGCAGGAAGTAGAGGTAAGAGGATCTTGAGTTCTAGGTCAGCCTAGATAAAATCATTGAGACCTTATCCTAGAAACAAAACATAAATAAAAATGCTGGGTATAGCTCAAGAGCTAAACTGCTTACCTAGCATAAAAATTAAATAAAAAAAGAAACGAAATCAACATATTCAAAATTCAAATTAAAAAAAAATAAAATGAAATAAACAAAGATCTGAAGGTTTGAGTCTCTAATATTCTCTTACTAAAGAAAATGTCAGGGGTTGGGAAGGTGGCTCAGTGGTAGAGCGCTTGCCTTGCATGCCTGAGGCCCTGGATTCGATTCCTCAGTACCACATAAGCAAAAAGAAAAAAGCTGGAAGTGGCGCTGTGGCTCAAGTGGTAGAGCGCTAGCCTTGAGCTGAAGAGCTGAGGGACAGCGCCCAGGCCCAGAGTTCAGGCCCCAAAACCGGACCCCCCCCCCAAAAAAATAAAAGAAAATGTCAGAGCCAGACGAGGGTAGCTCACGCCTATAATCCTAGCTACTCAGGAGGCTGAGATCTGAGGATCTCAGTTCAAAGCCAGCCTGGGCAAGAAAGTCCGTGAAACTCTTATCTCCAATAAAAAACCACCAGAAAACCGGAAGTGGAGCTGTAGCTCAAGTGGTAGAAGCGTTAGTCTTGAGCTGAAGAGCTGAAGGACAGTGCTCAGGCCCAGAGTTCAAGCCCCACAACCGACAAAAAAAAAAAAAAAAAAAGAAATGAAAAATGTCAGATTCCAGGTTAGGACAGGATAAGGTCAAAATGAGCCTAGTACATTTTGTTATGCTAGAAAGTGAGTGCTCATGATGATGAGAGCTATTTTGAAAGACTCCCACCGACTAAATCGGGATGGTTTATGCACAAAAATGAATAAAGGCAGTAAAGAATTATAAACCATTGATAAAAGGGAATTGGAGAATTCATACTGATAAACAAATAGAAAACAAGGAGCAGGTTCTTCCTTACAGTAGAATGTTTGCTGTCAACATATAAATGTGAAAGGGAGTACTCAGGTAGACAACCACTTTATAATCAGAGTGAAGACTGGTAGGATAAGAATCATCAGTAATGTTAAAACAGAGGTAGGGATGGGGTGAGATAGGTTTAATGAGGAAGCAGGATATTTTCATGACCTTAAAGGATCACCAAACATATTGTTTATTAGTAGCAAAAGAAAAATAGGAAATACACTATAAAGAAATCAGACAATATTTTGACAAGGTGATCAAAATTAGCACTAACAATGAAGGACAAGTGGACATCATGTAACTACAGATATGACACACTAAGGACAAATTGATCTGAGTCTTCAAAAATATTTATCACCAGTAAAAGTTTGCTTCAGGTCTCTGTTTTTTGTGCGCATGCATGTGTGTGTGTGTGTGTGTGCGTATGTGTGTGTGTGTGTTTGTGTGTTTGTACTGGGGCTGGAGCTCAGGACTAGGTTGCTGTTTCTTAGTTTTTTTCACTTTAGGCTAGTGCTCGACCACTAGAGCCACAGTTCTGCTCCCAACCTTCTGGTAGTTAATTGGAGATAAAGGTCTCATTGTCCTTTCTGCCCAGGCTGGCTTCAAATGAGTATCCTAAGATTCCCAGCCTGCTGAGTAGTTAGGATTACAGGCGTGGGCCACCAGTGCTCAGCTCAGGGCTCTGTTTTTGTTCCTGTCCTATTGGACTTTCCTAACAATGACTGGAAGACAACATAGAAGTCAGGCTGGAAGGGAAAACAAATGTTCTGGAAGGTAAAATCTGGATCCCAAAGACTCATGGCATGCTAGAAAAAGGGGTCCAGGGCTAATCCAGTAAAATGTAGTGAGTATAAATTCAAGGTACAGTTCAAATTTAGATACTCAATTTTATAGACAGTGCATCTGGTATACATGGGATGTCAGCTGACTTTATGTTAAGTAAACAGTAGTCAGTGTGGCTGGCCCAGTAAAAAGATGTAGGGCAAAGCTGGGTGCCGGTGGCACACGCCTGTAATCCTAGCTACTCAGGAGGCTGAGATCTGAGAATCGCGGTTCAAAGCCAGCCCAGGCAGGAAAGTCTGTGAAACTCTTATCTCCAATAAACCACTAGAAAACCAGAAGTGGTGCTGTGGCTCAAGTGGTAGAGCACTCGCCTTGAGCTGAAGAGCTGAGGGACAGTGCTCAGGCCCAGAGTTCAAGCCCCACAACCAAAAAAAAAAAAAAAGATGTAGGGCAAGAAGGCAGCAACTTGTGTACAAAAGAAATAATCCAGCTACCTCTGTAGCACCCAGACCACTTTTGGGTGTTTTCACTGTTTTGTTTTCTTTTGTTTTGTTTTTTGGTCGGTCATGGGGCTTGAACTCAGGGTCTGGGTGCTGACCCTGAGCTTGGATAGCACTCTCCCACCTTGAGCCAAAGTTTCACTTGCATTTTTTTGTTGCTAGTCGTGGCTTTAACTCTGGACCTGGGCACTGTCCCTGAGCTCTTCAGCTCAAGACAAGTACTCTACCACTGGAGCCACAGAGCCACTTCCGGGTTTTCTGGTGGTTAATTGGAGATAAGAGTATCACAGGCTTTCCTGTCTGGGGCTGGCTTTAAACCATGATCCTCAGATCTCAGCCTCCTGAGTAGCTAGGATTACAGGTGTGAGCCACCAGCACCCAGCTTTATTCACTTTTTTTTTTAATTACACTTTAGGAAGCATTTTGGCAAATAGAAATGTGTCCATAAAAAGGATATCAGATGGTTAAAAAAAAAACACCTATCTGAAAACTGTATTGTATGAAGACCAGTTAAAATAATGAGATGTCTGGCAAGAAAAAAGAAAATTTAGAAGGAACAGAGGAATTATCTAAACTATCTAGAATACTATCATGTGAAAGGTGGATTAATGAAGCAAAGAAAGCCTGACCTAGAAATAACTAGTAGCTGGCGCATTAAGCTTAAAGTCTGATAGGCTAGGGATTCTAATTTCCATCATTTTGTAGCTCTGTGACCCTGGGCAACTCACTAAACTTGAAATTCAGTGTCTTCATTTATAAGGTAGAATAAATATCATCTATGTCATAAATCTCAGCAAGTATTTGTGAGGTCTAAATGAAATAATGTGTTTATAAATGGTGATACATTACCATATTTGAATTATTGGTAGTATTTACTAAGAGAAAGAAGCCTCTTATAATGAAGCACTGGCAATTATTAGAAGTATATAATCACCAATGGGCTGCTTTATTAATTAATTAATTAATTTTTTTGTCAGTCATGACGCTGGAACTCTGTGCCTGGCTAGTGCTCTACCCCTTGAGACACAGCATCACTTCTGGCTTTTTCTGTTTATGTAGTGCTGAGGAATTGAACCCAGGGCCTCATGCATGCGAGGCAAGCACTCTACCACTAAGCCACCTTCCCAGCCCCTGGGCTGCTTTATTAAAACTGAGCATCACATCACTGGCAATGTTCAAACAAAGACAAGGCCATCATTTACTGAATGTCTGGCAGAAGAGATTACACTAATGATTCCTATGGTCCAGTCCAACTCTAAGATGCTAAGATTTTTATCACTATTAGTCACACTTTGGATTTTCTTTTTTCTTTTCTTTTTTTTCTTTTTTTTTTTGGTCCGGTCGTGGGGCCTGAACCTTGGCCTGGGCGCTGTCCCTCAGCTCTTCAGCTCAAGGCTAGCACTCTACCACTTGAGCCACAGCGCCACTTCTGGCTTTTTTTTCTTTTTGCTTATGTGGTACTGAGGAAGCGAACCCAGGGCCTCAAGCATGCAAGGCAAGCGCTCTACCACTGAGCTACCTTCCCAGCCCTTTGGGATTTTCTTTACATTATGACTATATAGCTTTGAAAACTGAAGTGACAACCTTTTGATCTTTGTCACTTCTCAGACTTGTTCTCAGTTGCTAAGACACAACTGCCTCCCTCACAACAAACAGGAAGAAGCACAGATGCTGGCTCTAGGACTTGCCAGAACTTAACACTGAAAAGTATGTGAATGAAGCTATCGAGGTTGTGACTTTTTGCTTGGAAAAATAAAAACCACTCAGGAACACTGCTACATAGGCCAAGTGGCTTAGGTTGGAGCTGCAAGAGGCAAGTGTTTTTTTAATGCTTGACTTTTCAACATCTTCTCATCTCCCCTCCCTATTATTGTCACAAACCAGAATTCTTCCCTTGTTATCATAAAAAAAGGAAAGTTTATAAGGAGGATTTAGTTGGGAAACTGTTTTTCATGTTAGCCTGTGAAGTCGGACATAAATGCAAAGTGCAAAGGTAAAAGAGTATTAATTTGCACCTATGCAGATATAACTATAAAGTAGGAATCAGTCTCAAACTTGAACTCAGCTTGTGTCCTGAGGCATGAACTTTGGGCCTGGGTGCTGTCCTTGAGCTTTTTTTGCTCAAGGATAGTGTTCTGATACTGGAGCCACACCTCTTACTTTCAGGTTTTTGGTGGTTAATTGGAGAGTCTCATGCTCTTTCCTGCATGGGCTGGCTTTGAACTGTGATCCCCAGATGTCAGCCTTCTGAGTAGCTAGGATTATAGGTATCAGCCAGTTGCACATGGTTATTGAATTTAGCCTTAATTAGGATTGCATCCCCACTGCTTTGAAGGGAACTTTCACTGCTTTTCAACTGGTGATCAACAAGTTAAATTTCTACTCTGCCTTTTCCTGCTCCATTTCACAGGAAGTTAAAGTCTTCTTAACACGTGAGCTAAACAACTGCTTTTCTAAACATCTTTCATTTGGTGGCTTGTCAATATTTTTTGAGTTTGGTATTTTTATTGTTATGTTGTTTTTTTGAGACAAGGTCTTGCTATGTAGCCCAGACTGGCCTTGAACTTGTGATCCACCTGGCTCAGCCTTCCAAGTGTTGGGATTTTAGGTATGCACCACTAGGCCTGGCTCTAACACATTTTTTTCATTTACTATAGTTCTTTGTGGAAAGAGGGAAGGAGTAAAGAGAAGAGTGACAGAGGCAGAAGGCTTGTCACCATATTCATTGATGCAAATAGGAATGGTAAAGGAAGAAATACTCTTGGAACGTAATATATTATATCATGATAATGAAGTGAAGGAAGAGTCAGGGAGCAAGATGTTCACACACATGGGGCGAGAAATGATGGTGGCTTAGCTATCTAGGAACAAATACTGAGCAGTGCTCTCCTTGGGACAGTGGAGTGACAAACAAATGGGAATGACCTCAGGGAATGACCTGTCCAGCAGGGAAATGCACAAGTTGCTTGTCACCCAGCAGGAAGAGCTTCACAATGCCCCGGGGAGCTTACACTGTCTATGAAAGACTATACTAAACAACCTAACATGTCTTACAAACACTTGCCTCGTGGCGCCCCGGCCAATCTTGAGCAGCTTACTGCTTCCTTACATTTCCTTATCTCTGGCCACAGGCCCCAACTACACCATGACTTACTGATGAAGTTAGCCTGGCCAGTGAATATGGTGTACTGAAGCTCATAGGAGCTGATGCTGAACTCATCATCCGAGATCCAGTGGACTGTAATGGTGTCATGGGAGGCTGTACAGAGTTCCTCTCGGATAGATGGTGGGTTTGGGGCTGTAAGAAAAAGTAGGGGGAAAAGAAAGGTAAGAAACACTTACTGTTTGGAATTTTACAATCCTTATTCTTCCTGTCTAACTCAACATCTCTAGAAAAGGAAGAGTCATTTGTTTGTTTCTTTATTTTACTCAATACTGGGGTTTAAACCCAGAATATCACACATACTTGACAAGCATTCTATTAAAGATATATTTCCAGTTCTGGAAAAGTCTTAGGGGAGAAATTTTAGATTGCAAGACACATGCAACCTGAAACACAACCACTTGTTTCAACAATTAAGATATTTTAGGCTTAGCTATTGTGATGAGTTCTCCCATTGTCCAATTGGCCCTATATAAACACATATGTATACTTTATAGCTAAATAGCTACATATTTTACTTATATAACATGGACTTCAATCTACTTCATTCTATTTCTTTGTCAGTTATAGGGCTTGAAATCAGGGCCTGGGTGCTGCCCCTGACTCTTTTGCTTAAGGCCAATGCTCTATCAATTTGACCCACAGCTCCACTTCCCATTTTCTGGTGGTCATTTGGATATAGGCATCTCAAGGACTTTGGTGCCTGGTCTGGCTTTGAACTGTGATCCTCAGATCTCAACCTCCTGAGTAGATATTATTATAAACATGAGCCAACACTAGAACCTAGCTACTTTATTCTATTTCAAAATAACTTTTATTATATATATTTGACAATAAAGTTCAAATTAATACTAGTTCTCCCATCTGTAAAATGGGAATGATAATTACTGTATTAATTTGCTCTGAGGATTAATGATATAAAATTCATGTAAAGTATCTGGCATAAATAAATGATAGTTATGCTAAGATATTAACAAAATAGCTACAAGCATAAAGTTATATTTATACATGTACTTTTCTCATAAAATAATCATTCAATAATCTTTAAGGTTGCTAGCAAGTATTTTATTTTTATTTTTATTTTTTTGTCAGTTGTGGGGTTTGAACTCTGGGCCTGACTGCTGTCCCTCAGCTCTTCAGCTCAAGGCGAACACTTTACCACTTGAGCTACAGCACCACTTCCGGTTTTCTGGTGGTTTTTATTGGAGATAAAAGTTTCACAGACTTTCCTGCCCCAGCTGGCTTTGAACCATGATCCTCAGATCTCAGCCTCCTGAGTAGTTAGGATTACAGGCGTGAGCCACAGGCACCTGGCTAGTAGTCAACAATTTTAACAGTCTGGTTGCATCTTGTATTTTATTTTATTTTTTGGTAGAAATTTATTTATTTATTTTTATTTTTGTCAGTCCTAGGGCTTGAACGCTTGGCTTGGGCACTATCCTTGAGCTCCTCTTTACTCAAGACTAGTACTCTACCATTTGGGCTACAGTGCCACTTCTGTTTTTTTCTATGATTAATTGGAGGTAAGAGTCTCACAGGCTTTCTTGGGCTGGCTTCAAACTATGATCTTCAGATCTGAGCGTGAGCCACTGGCATACAGACTTTTGTAGAAATTTATTAGGCTTTATTTTAGACATTTTAACAATTGTACACTCACTCGATTTTGTTGTTGGTGGTGGTGGTGCTGGTTGTGAAGCTTGAACTCTGGGCATGGGCACTGTCCCTCAGCTCTTCAGCTCAAGATAAGTGCTCTACCACTTGAGCCACAGCACCACTTAAAATTTTCTGGTGGTTAATTGGAGATAAGTGTCTCATGGACATTCCTGCCTGGGCTGGCTTTGAACCGTGATCCTCAGATCTCAGCCTCCTGGGAAGTTAGGATTACAGGTGTGAGCCACCAGCACCAAGCTTGATAGCTGTTTGTAAGCACTTTTTCAAATATTTTTAGGTTAAATATTATTACTGATAAGTCTTTGTTGAGAGCATCCTTTGGAAAGGTGTTTTGGCTCAAAAGAAAATCACCTGCAGCCAGGCTCTGGTGCTGGTGACTCACACCTGTAATCCCAGCTACTCAGGAGGCTGAGATCTGAGGATCATGGTTTGAAGCCAGCCCAGGCAAGAAAGTGTGTGAGACTCTTATCTCCATTTATTCACCCCAAAACCCAAAGTGGAGCTGTGGCTCAAAGTGGTAGAGTGCTAACCTTGAGCACAAAAGCTCAGGGACAGTGCTCAGGCCTTGAGTTTAAGCCCTACCACTGACAAAACAAACAAAAAAACAAAATAACTGCCATAATGGTCACTTCCAATGCAGGCCCATTGGGGAGTACTTCAGTTAAACAGAAGGTTGAATTTTTTCTCCCTTTTTTTTCATGCTAATCAACAAACCAACAAATTGGGCTAATGTCTTCCTCCTTAATATTGTGCATAATTGACTATACCATGATTAGCACAAACATGAGGAAACTGTTGTGATTGGTGAATATACCCTTATCCTCTCTGGCATCTGTTTCTTACAAGCAGTCTGTCTTGTAAACTAATGCTGAGTGATAATATCTCTGACACTTCATATGAAACTTTAGAAGCATTAAATATTTGATGGAATCATCTTTCTTTTCTATTACAATGGGGGTGAACTAAAAGACATTTTACCTAAAGATACATCTATCACATCTAAGTTTAGAAAAAATCATTTTAAATACTGTCCCTTTCAGATTACATTCAACTGAAAATTCACCCAAATAAAAAAAATTAAACAAGCAGGAATATTTTCACACCTGTTAAGTAGTCTAGCCCCTCCAACAGTTTCTTTTCTCTAGAAAAATCTAAAGCAAAGTTTTCAAAGGCATCATTAAAATTGATGTCTGGAATCAGAACTTGAGAAGATGCAGTTGCCATAGCGACCCTAAAAAAAAAAAGTACATCAATATACATCAAAATAAGCTTGCAATCTCATCCAGTGTTTGATTTCTGGCTTAACAACAGGAAAACAAATGACTTGCAAGGGAAAATATCGTATCCGTTCTTTTCCAATGAAAATCATTTCAATTTTAATTGTCAGGAACCAATTAAGTGTTATACCATATTTGTTCACATATGTTCACCCCTCAAACACACTCTCCCATCCTGTCTTAATTTTGAGAAGTAAATACAGGATTTTTTCCCCTCTGCATCATTTTCCATCTGGCAGGCAGCCTCAAAACTAGACCTCTGAAGGCTTGGTAAGAGCAATTTAAGAATTTATTCCCCTCTCTTTTTTTTCATGCTAATCAACAAACCTACAAGCTGGGTTAACGTTTTCTTATTACTGCCCATTATTATTAATTTTTGGACCCAGTCCTAGGACTTGAACTCAGGGCTTGTCCCTGAGTTTTTTTGCTCCAGGCTAGCACTCTGTCACTTGAGCCACAGCTCCACTTCTGGCTTCTTGGTGGTTAATTCGAGATAAAAGTCTCACAAATCTTCCAGCCTGGTCTGGCTTTGAACTGCAATCCTAAGATCTCAGTGAGTAGCTAGGATTACAGGCATGAGCCATCAGGCACTCAGGTATATCTGGTCTTTTATAATACTTACATTTCATTTTTTATTCTCTAATTGAATAATCCTATGGTACTTTTAACTCCTTAATTACTTTTAAAGGACTCAAGAATGAGGTTCAGCCGGGCGCCAGTGGCTCATGCCTGTAATCCTAGCTACTCAGGAGGCTGAGATCTGAGGATCTCAGTTTAAAGCCAGCCCGGACAAGAAATCCATGAAACTCTTATCTCCAATAAACCACTAGAAAACCAGAAGTGGTACTGTGGCTCAAGCCTAGAGTGCTCACCTTGAGCTGAAGAGCTGAGGGACAGTGCCCAAGCCAAGAGTTCAAGCCCCACGACCGACAAAGAAAAAAAAAAAGAATGAGGTTCATGTTTTGTACCTCTTGTATTTTGTGTGGTTCCTAAAACAATAAAAGACATACAATAAATAATAAATAGCTTGCTAACATTTGTTGAGTGATTAGTTGATACAAGGCATTGTGCATGCAACTTATGCAAATTATCTAATTTATTCATAATCATAACTTTGTTAGATGTTATTTCCATTTTGTAAGTAAAAATGTAAAGAAATAAATTTCCCAAGATCATACAAGTAGTAAAAAGCAAGATATAATTGAATCCATGAACATCTGATTGTAATCTCTGTACCTATATCCATTTATAGTTTCTTCTCTCTTTTAATTAAAAAATATACTTTTTATATATTTCAGCAATTCTTTTGGCTTGATCTCTGTGCCTGGGCACTGTCCCTGGGCTTCTTTTTTTTTTTTTGGGTCCGGTCGTGGGGCCTGAACTCTAGGCCTGGGCCCTGTCCCTCAGCTCTTCAGCTCAAGGCTAGCACTCTACCACTTGAGCCACAGCGCCACTTCGGGCTTTTTTCTTTTTGCTTATGTGGTGCTGAGGAATCGAACCCAGGGCCTCAGGCATGCAAGGCAAGTGCTCTACCACTGAGCCACCTTCCCAGCCCCTAAGTATACATATGGTTTTTTTTTAATTTTTTTTTTTTGTCGGTCGTGGGGCTTGAACTCTGGGCCTGGGCGCTGTCCCTCAGCTCTTCAGCTCAAGGTGAGTGCTCTACCACTTGAGCTACAGCGCCACTTCCTCCCTGGGCTTCTTTTATTCAATGAGTGCACTCTACCACTTAAGCCACAGCTCCATTTCTAGGTTTTTTTTTTTTTAGTAGTTTATTCAAGATAAGAATGTGAGGAAATTTCCTGCCTGCGATGACTGTGAACCATGATCCTCAGATCTCAGCCTGAGTATCTAGGATTACAGGTGTGAGCCCCTGGTGATAGGCATATTTCAGTAACTTTTAACCATGGTTACACATTAGAATAATTATCTGGGGGAGCTTTTATCAAAATATTCTCTTTTTGTGGGTCATGGGACTTGAACTCTGGGCATTGGCATTGTCCCTGAACTCTTCAGCTCAAGGTGAATGTTCTACCACTTGAGCCACAGTACCACTTCTGATTTTCTGGTGGCTAATTGCTGATAAGAGTCTCATGGTTGTTCCTGCCTGGCCTGGCTTTGAAATGCAATCTTCAGATCTCAGCCTCCTGAGTAGCTAGGATTACAGGCATGGGCCACCAGCACTCAGCAAAATATTAATGTTTGAGTCCTGTATCAGACCTTCTGAATCAGAACCAATTAAGGTCTTGCATATGAAAATGACAAGAAGAAAAGAAACATGAGCGTGGCAACAACATGCAGATTAGAATAGCAAAAGGGGGCATGAAGTAGAAGAAGATCAGAAAGGAAACCTTTTATGGTAAAGCAGTTGTAAGGGAATGAAAAACTGAATAAATGCATACGCATGAATGTACTCCTTGTTGCACATCCACAAACAGCTCTTGGAAAAATGTGGTATATATATACACAGTGGAATTCTATGCCTCCATCAGAAAGAATGACATTGCCCCAGTTGTTAGGAAATGGAAAGACTTGGAAAAAATTATATTAAGTGAAGTAAGCCAGGCTCAAAGAAACATAGATCCCATGGTTTCCCTCATTTGCAATAGCTAGTATATGTCTGAGTCAAGAAGAAACAGTCAGATAAGTTGATGTTAAGCAAAATGAACCCCAAGATAAGGACTCAAATGGTTTTTCTTTTTTGCTATTGTTTCTAACATATGTATAAGATGATTTTTTTTGTTGCTTTGTATGTCCCTCCCCCACGATATAAGCCCTGTTTTCACTGTATTTGATGTTGGTATAATTTGTGGAGGGGAAGAGAAAAAACAAATTGTTTAAATAGGGATACAGGTGGACCCATTGCAACAATGAGATGTATAAGACATTATGTCGAAAAACGAACTTTACAACTTTGGCACGGTGGAAGGGAGGATGGGGGGGGTGAGATGGGAAGGGATAGAAAGGGGAAACAAAGCCGGGCGCTGGTGGCTCACGCCTGTAATCCTAGCTACTCAGGAAGCTGAGATCTGAGGATCACGGTTCAAAGCCAGCCCGGGCAGGAGAGACTGTGAGACTCCTATCTCCAATAAACCACCAGAAAACCGGAAGTGGCGCTGTAGCTCAAGTGGTAGAGCACTCGCCTTGAGCTGAAGAGCTGAGGGACAGTGCCCAGGCCCAGAGTTCAAGCCCCACGACCGACAAAAAAAAAGAAAGGGGAAACAAAGGAGGAGGCAACAATGCTTGATAAGAAACGTACTCATTACCTTGCTCATGTAATTGTAACCCCTCTGTATGGTATTTTCACAATAAAAAAAACAGCTCTTGGCTGTTTATAAAAATAGAGCTGTTGCAAGAATAAACTGCAGGCTAGTATAAACAAATGCAAGATTTGTTTAAGGGTCTCACATTGAACTATAAGTCTTCTAGGACTAGATGCATAAGCAGACGATAACTTCTTTAGGGTAAAAGTCAAGCCAGATATGGCTTATGAAACTTCTTCCTAGACTCCTCAGTCTTCATTCTTTTTTTCCATCTATCCATCCATTAAGAAAAATTAATTTATTAGATGCTGGTGGTTCATGCCTATATTCCTAGCTACTTGCAAGGTTGAGATCTACAGATAATGATTTGAGGACAATCCGGGTAGAAAAGTTCATGAAACTACCTTTTCAACCAATAGCTGGGGATGTTGCAGTTTACCAATCATCATAGCTGTGCAGAAGGTTGAAATCAAGAGGATCACAGTTCCAGGTTAACTTGGTCAGAAAAGTCTGCAAGATTTTGTTTTGATGGAAGAAGTTGGGTGTGATGGCATATGCCTGATATCATAGCAATAGTATACAGTGAAAAATAGGAAGATCATCAGGAAGCAAGACCCTAAAAAATAACTAGTTTAAAAAAGGAGCTGGGGGCTTAGCTCAAGTGGTAGGACACCTACAAGAGTGAGGCCTTGAGTTCAAATCCTAGTATCACAAAAAACAAAGGAATGAAGTTAGATTGAATTAGGGAGGGAAGAGAGATGACAAAAGAAGAAAATAAGAGAGGAGAGGAAGGGAGAGAAGGGAAAAGGAGGGCAGGGAGAGGGGAGGGGAAGTGAGAGGAGCAAAGGAAAGAAAAACTAATACACTAGGTCCTGTGCTAGATGTTGGAGACACACAGGGAAAATATATCCTTGTAATGATCCTCGCCCTTGCAGTGCTCACAGATCATGAAAAATAGAGACATTAATTGTTCAATATAAAGACTATAGAGTATAAACAAGAGACTTGGGAAGTGATGATAAACTCCCTAGCGGAAGTCATTTTGTTGTTACTATAAAGGTGATGTACAGATAGGTTACTGTTTCAAAGTCAGTTAATGAGTACATTCCTTTTAGGACAATGTCACCCCTTCGTTCTCTACAGAGGAAGTTAATTTTAAGCAACAGTCTATATGATGAATAGAAATTAGCTAAACAAGGACTATATGAATGTGTGTCCTCTTACATCTTATGGCTGCAGTCTTCAGGGTCTCATAAGCTATCCTACAAACCCATGACCCTATCCTAGGAACACTAGAGCATTTTAGGCAAAGAAATGTAGTGGTTAAGAAGATGAGAAGGGGTCAAAATTGGAAGCAGGAGGAAAAGGTTTTCAAGATGTTTAGGAATAAGAAGCAAGTAAAGTAGTAATGGGAATGTAGGCAAAACAGAAAGAACTGATTCAAAAAACATGAAAACAAACAACCAACAAATATATTTAAAAATCCAATTACCTGAGAAATCAAAGGGATATAAATTAAAATGAAATGGCATTTAGATGATAAATAATGTAATATAGGAACTTTCTATGACTACTTAAATGATGCCTACATGTTTTATTAGGACTGAAATCAACAGACATTTTGAAGGTAATTTAACATTAAGTATCAAAATAGTTTAAAATTAAATATTCTTTGACATCACAGTTCTACT